ACTGGCTGGAAATATCTATCCTGATTGTTTGACGATCCGACAAAGACCAAGGCAAGACAAAGGATGATGAATTAACTGATCACACACTAAATCACAATATGCGCGAGAAATGATACATTAACATAGTAACTGCATCACATGATAAATCAGACGGTTCGTGAGAAAGGATGATCTACTAATCTATGCTGCGTCCTATCAGTAGGTATGCTTCAAAACGCAACACAGTCGACCCTTTTGATTAAACTTTCAAATCAAGAATGTTGACATCTATTTTCTAAAGCATCTTTGTCTAATCCACTATGTGTGCTTATCAATATAATATGAGGAGTCATCTCTGAATTTATCGAAGCAACTAGACATATACTCTGTCTGTTGAAATAATTTGAACAGGGTGACGAAAGCATATAAAAAATGAAGTTGAATTCCACTTGTCTAGTAAACAAAAAGACTTTAAATGTTGTAGCTTCGATCAACTGTAGATGCTGTTAACCTTATTTTAAACAAGTTATTCTTCAAGGTAAAAAAGATGTTGAACTGGAGACGAACAGTTTAAGTATTGATGAATTAGTTTGCAGGGATTCTATTTGTTACAGGTTAGACGACGGATAGATATCAGTTAGAGAACCATTGGAAACCAGCACTGGAGTACTGGACAGCTGTTTCGTCCTAGTTCGGGACTCATCGCAGCACGCCTCCACTGTTTTTCGGACCCAGGACTTTTCAGTTACAAGGCAAGCTCGTATACCATTCAGCCACTGGGAGGCGATTCGAAGGCCCATGAATTCTAAGCCTTACCAATTCGTGATTTTAGGGTGACCACCGACTAATCCCATCGGTGGGAACTCCATCCTCACTCCTGACTGGATGGACCTCACTGCTCACAGGGAAATTCGTCCTGTAGCCGGTCACTAGCGTGCACCGGTACTCCCTGGTTTTCAATGCTTCTCTAACTGATATCAATCCACTGTCTAACCTGAAGTTTAAATATATTAACAGAAAACCTGGTGTTATATACCAAAACAAATGAAGTATAATGTATCTTAATGATCAAATACTGTAGATAATGAACCACACCGTCTGTTCGGTCAAATCACTAATAAGAGGAGAATTGATGTTGGAGAAGTTTGATTCCTAAAATCTCGATTTCATATGTTTTGTGAATGATACCTTGTAAGTTTATGTATTAGGTGAATTTGGGCACTGTAGTAGAATATAATTCCATACAAGATAATTTTATTCTTATATAACCCACAGCGATACAGTTTTAATAACTGGATAACATGTCAAGCACAATTTATTGCTCGTAACCATATCAATGTATATGCACACAACTTTGTAGCTTGGTTTTTATACATTCATTGCATGTGCTACTGATAAGATTTTTCAGTAGAATATACAGAGATATTCATCGGTATAAAAAACAGCAAATAGCAGGGGGATAAATTTGATGTCAACGGAGGCAAATGATACATCGTTGAGGAGACACATGAGAGACGTGTGAAGAAACACAATATGAAGGAAGGGTAGAAGTAACACAACACGGAAGATCTGTGTAAATGATGATTTGAAGATAAGGTGTACATAATTGCGATAAATAGCGATACCAAATTCTAAATAAAGATTCCCTTACCAAGTCTTTAGTCTTCTATCGTTACACATTCACTTCCTTCTGTTTTTATTACAATTCTCTATATAGCTGGTTTAGGCAATGTGTCATTTCGACTGCACATGTTTGGTGTTGTTCCGATGAACACAGATTCAATGATTAGCCTCACTGTCTCTCTTCCTCCACCTAACTCCATTACTTTTTAATACTTTCGCCCTATACCGCCTTGTTGTGTGATTACATGCAAGTGAATGTACTGCAATGACGCAGTTTTTATCTAGATTATTTAATTTGGTAGGGTCAATCATTCTAGCTCCTGATAAGTTCCTGTATTCCGATAACCTAAGTGTCTCCGACACACTAGTTTGGCCCATGTAATTGACCTAACACTCTAATATGATATTTAGTAAATTATGTTATTTTCCTTAAATGGATCTATCGTGTCCTTAAACAAACAAAGTTTATTTAAGAACTAGTCGGTTGATTTATACGCCAGCATTATTAAACATCCTACGTAGGGCCTCTGAAGGAACCTCTTTATACGACAGCACTGTGGAGCCTTTGAATTCCGTATTATTTATATTATTCTCTAATTACGACTATTATTTCTCTTATAGATCCTAACACATTTCTTAATTTTACATTCCTATCAGTTTATGACTGTGCAGCACTGACTAATGCAGCTTCAAATCACAATGTTAGAACTTTATTTACTCAGAAGAGAGTTTGCATATTTCTGGCTTCAAGTGACGCTGATCGTGTGAAGTCTTATGATACTATGATACTACCAATGCTTAAGCCAATTAGCCATGTCCCCACAGAGGCATTATAATATCCTTTAAAATTTGCAGAAACGCATAACTTAGATTCAGGGATTCCCGCTGAGTACCCTACAACTAGCTTGCTGAAACTCAGACTGACTGTTGAGTTGTCAAACGGCTGCATTCTTATTTCTCAGGAAGAAAGCAGTAAGCTGTATATCAGGGAAAGTCGTTCACTTCATTTCTTATTGAGACTGGTGTCCCTCAAGGCGCTGTCTTTTCTCCTTTTCTGTTTTCTTTCTTCTTGCATGACTTGTCTCACTCTGATGAAATGAATTTTGTTAAGTATGCTGACGATCTATATATTTCAATGTCTGCTAAATGCCAACTAGAGTGTACTAAGATGAACAGCTTTCTATCAGGAGTTAGCAGATGGTCGTCTAATGGCCTTAAACTAAATCCTTCCAAATGTCAGACTGCTATTTTCAGTTTCCGATGTAAAAGAAAGTTAAAGGAAGCTGTTGCTTCCTATAACCGTTGCAAAATTGATGATAGTGATATAGAAATCAAGTCTTGGATTAATTCTTTCTTCTGACCTATCCTGGTCTTCCCATGTCTCAGGGATTTCTGAAAGAATACTTCGTCGGACTTTTACATTAAGAAGTTAAGGCACTCAGGCACCACCCAACCCCTCCTCTTACAGTTTGTCAACTTGTGAATCTTACCTATTCTTCTTTACTGTTCACCCTTATTCTTTCCTGGATTGCTTAAAAAGGACTATGTCATACTTCGTGGAATTCTGAAGACTCTCAGTAGGTCAGTGGTATCCCATTGGGCCGTATGGCTGACGTTGTCAGTGATGATGGACCCTTGATTTCATGCAAAAAATTTGCTAAAGGAATTCTGTCAGACTGTGAGCATCCACTTTACACGCAACTCCAACCTTGTGTCTCCTCAGGTAAAACAAGAAGTCTTTTCAGAAGAATTTATGCACATATGTCTAAGTATAAAAATTCCACTATACCATATTTGATGGCGCGTACTTTATGTGATGAAAATAGTGTTAGGCATGAACTAACTAACCTTCTTTGCACTGCTAAATAATAAACCATTTCCTCCACCCTGATTACATCAAGCTTTATTATTATTGTACTTCTTATATTTATAATCCTCTCGATTTTTTGTTTTTATTTTTTCATAAGTGTGAACATCATTTAAGCTGTGTTTTAACTGTTAATTTCGTATTTCTCCTCAGTATACTATATCAACAGAATATTAAATTCAATAATCTATAACATGATAAAATTTTCAAACTGAATCGACGATACTGTTTGAAACAAACTCACTGTTATTATTACTATTAAATTTAATATTCTCAATTCGTACTTCGAATATTTTTGACTTTATACCGTAAATGTGGACAAATTCCCCTGGTAAATTTTGTTTTAATTTTATTTATATATTGAGTAAATCAGATGCAATATTGTGACAAATACTAAGGATTCCATTCTGTATTATAACTACTGTTTTTGAAATAAAGTAGATTATTATTATTTCTTGTAAAAATACTATCACATATGTATCACTCATAAGACTGCTATTTAACAAAACCACTTTATTATGGTAAATATGTATTTCATTGTAGTCAACTGGAAAATATATTCACGCTTACATTTCACCAGTGATGTGCACGTCTACCTGTCTTTTATTTTATTTAAATAAAAAGTAAGTGTTTGCGTTTTTCATCAAACATTTTATAATTTTCAAGTATTTGGTTTGTAGAGATTTTGTTTGCTTGGGTAGAGGATTTCATCATGAGCTGACATCAGCTAGAAAACCATTGGAAAACCACCTGGGAGTACTTCCAGACAGCTGTTTCTTCAGACTAGTTCAGCAGTATGCACACACCCTACCGACAGAGTTCGAACCCATGACCTTCTGGTTACAAAGTTATGTGAGTACCTTGATATGATTATGAGTGGTAATAAATTGTGCTTGAAACGTTTTCAGTAAATATTACTGCATAGCACTGTCAGACTTTAGCAAAATAAATTTTTCCCATAATGGAATTATACTCTACCACAGTGCACAAGTTTTATTCTTATATCTTCTGGTTGCAAGGCGGGCTAGCTAGCTCGTAGACCATTCAGCCACTCACTGGGACCCACACCCGACCCAATGGCCAACCCATGAATTTTAACTTCTGCCAATTCATGACACAACGCGACCACTTCGCAATGTCTTCTTCGATGAGTAACTGCCCTCACCTTCGACCTGCTGTACCCTACTGGTCACGACTTTCTACTAGAACCCCAGGTTAACTGCCTGAATAGGGTCAGTCGCTAGTGAGCATCAGATCAATTTTCAGGTATTTGGCTTGATTGCTTGGAGGATTTCATCACCAAGTGTCATCAGCTTAACGCTCCACGAGCTCGCCTAGTAACCAGAAGGTCCTGTGTCCGAGCTCTGGCGGTGGGTGCATACTAATGAAGAGTCCCAAACTAAGGCGAAACAGCTGTCTGGCAGTACTTCCAGGTGGTTTTCCAATGGTTGTCTAACTTATGTCAGCTGATGATGAAACCCCCCAACCAATTTATAATCACCTTCTATTGTACTGATAAGTGAAGTGACAAAAGTCAAGGGAAAAAAGATTTTACATCTGTTCATCCCATTCATTCATTTACTACCGTCTCTCTTTTTGTTTTGTTTATTTAATTTTTACACAAAGAGCACACGATTAGATAATATTTATAAGGGTCATCAAGCGGTGTATAAACACAATAAATACACATACAAATAATCATAAAGAAAAAGAGTAAGAGGGATACGGCGCCAGAGATTTAGAGAAAGAGAAGTGAAAAATACCAGTTAGTTCACTATTGTCATGATAAACAATCCTTTTGTGTATAACACACACACACACACACACACACTGATGATGATGAAGCACCATATCTATCCCGTTAACAGCATAAGAAACCATTGTTATAAGAGAAGCAATAATTAAACCAGATAATAGCATAGAAAAAAGATACTCAGGAACACACCTATCAAATTATTTATTATCTCTAAACGTGTAATGCAAAATACACTATTCAATGGAAATGTACACGTCTTTATAAAAATATTTGTGGGAGAGGCGGGTGTAGAGAAGAAAGGATATACACAGTAACTAAAATTCGGTAAATACAACCCAGTTGTGTATCTTCATATACAGAAAACAAAAAAACAGTTATGTATACAACTATGAATATAAAAGAGGTAGACTGAACTGTGATTGTGCAATATATGTGCGGTGATCAGAGTCGACCAACTACTCAATCTGCCTGAAAAAAGGAACAATTGAAGAGGACAGGTTTCTTATCGTGTCATTGATACTGTTGACGGTATTGTATGCTGATCAGCAGAACGCAAAGGGATCATAGGACCCATATCGAATAAACCATAGGGTGGAAGGAGATTCAGATCACCAGTTAACCGACGCACAATATTACGTCCAAGTCCAATATCAATTAATAAATGAGTTAATGGCAATGAAACACCTGTTGATAATGCTGCACTAGTAGCGGCAGCAGCTGAAGAAGTATTGGATGCTGTTATTTCATTGGCATCAGAAGTAGGTGATCCCGCGGTAGATGTTGATAATGATGATACTGCAGTTAATACAGGTAAGCCTAATTCAACTATCCAAACAAATTGTTGAGCATTTCTTAATAGATCATTGGAATTAATCATTGATTGACATGGGGTTAAGTGAATAATTCCACCAATAGAATTATGATTACGTAACCAGTTGATGAGTGGATTTGTATTTGATTTAAAGGATGAATTTAATTCATTTTCAGTATTATCATTATCATCATCTGAATGACCGATTATCACCAAATCGATACGTATACTACTAGGCAGTTTTGTGATAGCTACAAAAATAGTAAGGAAGACAGAAATAAATTCACTTGTTATTACATAATGCGGTGCAATAAGACAGCGCTTAAATGTTCTTTACTTACCTGTAAACTTTAACACTACCAGACGATTAAAACAGTAACAACATTGTAAATGTTAAGCCCTCCTAGCATATCGATATTATTATTACTTATTTTCTTACGTAAGGTTTGAATGGCCGTTTCGTGCCAAAACTACTTATTGTTTTCATTTTTATTATTTTATTCCTTTACGTTCCAAAAGGAACATAGGGCTTTCAAGCTACAGCTTTGAAGTTTCTCTATCAGTGGTCTTATTTTTACGGGATGGGGTTGTTAGCCTGATGCTCAACCTCCCCTATTTACCTACTTTACTACCAGATTAGCGAGGTTTAGCAGTGAGTCGGCACAGGATTGAATCCCTGACCACGTGTGTGATTGGCGAGGATTCTTCCGCTGCACCACCGACGCACTCGCTTCCAGTTAGTAGATGGAGAAAGTCAACTACTTAGCTGTGTAGACGCATCCAGTATGAATCTTATGAAATCCACATTCGAGTATAATAACAAATAAGGATTCAACTTGTTACACTAAAATTTCAATAAGTACTAGTCATAAACCAGAGAGAGATCTATTTCACATTTTTATATATAATCTCGTTTCCCGTCAATGTATAACTACTGTAAGTAATTGGAATTAGTAAACCTTATGTTTAGAAGCATTAACGCAATTCATTCGATTTCCATGAAGTGCAGTGCAAGTTCGAAACCTTTCTCTCTACCTACCGAAGTTTGAACAGTTAGGTGGTATGCATGGCTCTCTCATAGATGTGACCTGTTGTCAGCTGTATGCGTATGCAATTGGTACATACAATGTTGATCAATGAAATAGCGTGTGACAACTGCTGGTTGGCAGGAATTTGATTGGTTACAGATTTAATCACGAGCTATATATCAGTTAGAAAACCAATGGAAAACCTCGGAGAGCTAGACAACCGTTTCGTCAAAGCTTTCGTGTACTTATGGAAGCATGTGGCCGGTTATTACTTCCAGGTTGCCCAACACATTAGAAGCAGATTTCTTCTTAAAATAATTCAAAGAGAAACAGCATTAGTGTTGCTTGATGACAGAGTTCAGGAGATAAGTGATTAAAGTCTGTCGAACACAATCTGTTTGAAGAGACTTCGAGAGTTGTGTCTATGTCAAGACCGTACACGCGGCGACGAACCTTTGCAAGTTAATATTCAAAATGTATTGTTTTCGGTGCACACCTTTTCTATTCTACCTCCAAATATGATCGGCAACAAAAAAGACATAGAAAAGGCATCAGAAATAATTAACACCAAACAACTATTTAAGCTTATCAGAGAAAAAGGTGGCAAAACGCAAATTATAAGTGACACAATCTCCGAGAAAAATAGCACCCTCATTATCCCTCAGGATAAAAGACCAGAACGTTGGAAAGAACATTTCGAGGAGAAATTTAACTGGCCTACAGCCACGTTCAACTCGCCCACCATCCGACACCTACCTCAAAAGGATGTAGACATACGTCCCCCATCTGTAATTGAGGTTACAAGGCCTGTCTCCAATGTGAAACGAGGCAAAGCAGCAGGACCTGATGCAATTACTCCACGGGTGTTTGGGGACGGTAGTGACGAATTGATGACTCTTCTAATTAAGGTATCAAGCAACCTCTGGGATGCAGAGATATAACCCCGTCGGAGTGATTTAAGTCACTGATTATCGCATTATGCAAAACGGGAGACAAGTCTTCCTGTGATTCCAAATCATTTTGTTTATTAGATGCATCACACATTGTGGAATCACTTACTACCACAGTACCCACGTTTTACACATATATTAAGTTTTCCTGTGATTGATAATCATAGGAGGATTAGCTTGACTAATGTGATATGTAAAGTTCTAGGCTCAATAACCATGCGTTGACTAAGTGGCGCTCGGGAGAAACAAACACGAGAAAATCAGGCAGGCTTCAGACCAGGAAGATGATGTATTCATCATATCTTCACCCTTCGACAGATTCTCGAACATAACCATACTTACCGGAATTCAACAACTCCCATATTTCTTGACCTGAAAGCGGTATTCCATTCCGTCGACTGACAGGACTATGTCAATGTTTGGCCGTGAAGGGAATACCGAGAGAATACATCTCACTGATGATCAAGGCACTCTACTCGAAGTCACGCAGCCAGCCAGCCATTCAGTCAGATAAGAGTCTACGGAGAGAGAGAGAGTTGTCATCTGAAGTGATGACAACCAACGAGTGATGTCCATCAGGGACGCCCACTGTCCCCATTTCTATTCAATTTCATCATTGATGTATTGATGGAATCAACCCTAACTGACTTCAGCGACTCAGGGATTGACTTATTACTATGGAATAGTCTTGTTGACGTAAAGTATGCGGATGACATTGTCCTCCTAAGTGAAGACGCTGAAGACCTTGAGCAACAATCGTCGGATGATTGATGTGCGATTCACTCCTGTCAGTCAAATGTAAGATGATTCCACAGGACTGGACTACATCGACTCAATACTAGCTTAAAGATAAGGGGTGAAATCGTTGGTGGAGGTGATATGATATGATTATGAGCAATAAATTGTGCTCGAAACGTCATGAGTTAATATTACTGTAAGACACTGTGAGACTATCGAAATAAATTTTACCCATAATGGAATTATACTCTACCACAGTGCACAAGTTTTATTGTTATATCAATGACTTTTTCAGCTAATTTGTATAAAACAATATGATGTTGAAACAATAGAAGACGAAGACTTGGTGAAGAAATTTTTATCTGGAAATTGGTATCTCTATATAGCCAAATTATGTATACCTTATTTTCAGTGCACCATTTGCACAGATCTCTGTGTTGTGGTACTTCTGGACTTCGTGTAGTGTTTCTTTGTGTTCCTTTCACGTCTCTCATGTAGCTCCACAACGATGTATTATTTGCCTTCTCTGACATCAAATCTATCTCCCTACTATTCGCTGCTTTTTAGTCGATGAACGTCTGTTTATATACTACTGATAAATCTTATCGGTAGCATTCGCCACGATGTGAGTCATTGGTTCAAGCAATCAACTTTCAGTCACTGAGTGCTACATTCAAACCCTCACTCCATCTATATCAGTCTTGACAAGTAGTCAGTATGATCGGCCTTCACACAATATGTGTGGTGGTTCATATAGTTCAATACATGAAGCGATTATTTCAGGCAATTAAGTTTTCCCAATTCACAGGTTTCCAAGTACACTTTGACATTGAGTATTAGTAGGCGCAAGAATCCAAACGTTTTGCCAGCTGACTTTTATTTATAACACCAAAAAAGTACACCAAAATATTGACCATACCATAAAAATTGTCATCATATGTCCATGCATACTACGGTTATCATCTGAGAACTAGTTTAATTCATTAAAACCTGGATACTTTGATTGTACACTAGTAACTACTGTAATGTGTCTTGTACTTTGAATTCTATCAGTCAGTCAAGTTCGCAATGTGGCCAACATTCCAGGTAGCTGGCCATCAGTCCTACAGGAGGTCAGTAGCGAGCCCGAATAGCTCAGTGAATGGTAACGTATCTGACTGCAGCACTCAATAGAGGACGTCGGTTCGAATCTCCTCAGAAGAGATATGAGTTCCTTCAAGGTTGCAGATACGCCTTGCTGACTGACTGGTGAGTGCCAACTAGCACGAAACCCAGGTCCAATTAGGGCTTCCCGCCGATTACCTCCAACCATCTAGTATCTTACCAAAACTTGGATATATATATATATATATATATATATATAAGAGGAAATAATAAGGTTTACGTGGTTGACCAAATCAAGAATTGAGTTATTCTATTATGATTTAAATATGATTTTTTTAAAAACCTTCGTTATCTAAGCAAACTTACAAGATGAACGACGAATTATTTTCAGTCCAGGCATACGACTCATCCACATTCGACCAACAGAACTATAATCAACAATATTATACTGTGAAGCATGCACTGAATCGGAATGACCAAAACAACTGCTTATATTATCAAAATCTGTATCATTCTGTTCAATATTTCCATTGATATCTCCAATTGAATAATATTGAATAAGATTACTATTTTTAGAATTATAACCACAAAGTAATTGTTGTTGTTGTTGCTGTTGTTTATCATTAGCATTGTCATGGTTATCTTCATCATTATCCGTTTCATTATCTTCATAACTTTCATCTTCATCATCGTCTAATCCATACTGATTTGGTTTAGGTGCTAAATGTGTAAGTAGATTTAATTCATGTCGATAAATACTTGACATTGATTTATTATTTTTATTATTACTAGTAGTATTGTTAACAGGATATTCATCATTAACAATATCAACGTCATTTTTATCTGTTGATGAACTATTTTTTGTAGATAATGTTGAAGCATACAACAGAACACATGCTCCCAGGGACGACAATTGTCGGGCTACACTTAATGATAATACTGCACCTAAATGATTAGATCCATTCGGTATGATTAGTATACGAGCTGGAGGTCTGTGAACAACTCTATAAGAAATAACAAAGGAAAAGAGAAAAACAAATTATCTCTATGACTAATTCATAGACAATCATAGAACTGAACAATGGTTAGAGTTTATGGATACTGGATAGTCGTTTCATCCTAGTTACCTAGTTACTCCTCACCAGTGATTACCTATTACTCTACCAAGGATAGAACCTAGAACTTGATGGGGTTATGAATGCGTTTTGATAAAGAGTCCTGAACTGAAGCGAAACAGATGTCATGTACTTCCTAGTTCTTCAGTGATTCACTAATTTCATAGCAATCCACGATCAAACTTGAAGTCAATCATATCTCTGCAAACCAACAACACATGAAAATTAGTCTAGTACTCATTAGTGACTGTGACTACAGGATGGAGTTGTCTGAAGTTCTAGTTTTTTTTTACTCCGGCTATCTCCTACGGGAGGATGAGCCGGCTTCATGAACATCTCGAATCATCGCTGCCCAGGCGCGACGATCTGATGCAAGGTTTTGTGACAGGGTTATCCAATTCTTGTTCCACAGACGGAGTCCGTAGAGAGAGTTCATGAAGTTTCATGGGAATTCGGTACGAGTGATGTCCCCAGAATCGCTCGGCCTTTTGTTTGAGAGTGCAGCTCTAGCCTTTACACAACCAAGTGTGACCTACAAGGCAGTAGGAGTGGAGTAGGGAGTCCACTATCCATTGGCAGCCGGTGACCGGAGTTTGGTTCATACGCCTTTTTGAATGGGGCCAGACATCCAGGACATCCAACAAGCTCTTTGTCCATACGTTTGCCAGTGAGCTCCAGTGAGCTTCATACGCCAGTCGTTGGAGGTTTGGAATCAGGGTCTAGCCATCTCCCCTAGACTGTCATCCAATGGACAGTCAACCCGGTGAAGAGCGCCGGGCATCCGCTTTCGCCCTCTCACTTTGGTGAAAAACACCGCCACGTGAAGGCAGTGAGTAGGAATTCCTCAGGAGAGGCTATGTAAGACGCCCGGTCATATGGGAGCATTTCAAGAGGTGTGCGGAGGGGTGGCCAACCCGCAGCGCAAGGCACCCACCCCCGACCATCCTGAGGCTTTGGAGAAGTTGTGATCAGCAGGATCCAAATCTAGTTGGCTGTGAGGACAAATATTCACTGGTGACATTAGCTGACGGTTGCACTACATATCAAGAATCTGCAGAAGTCAGAATTCACAGAACACTGGATTCCTCCTTAGTGGTTCGATGATGATCAACAAGCTCACTCAGTAACCCGAAGGCCCTAGGTTCGATTTCTGAAGAATCTCTAACTAATGTCAGTTCGTCGTCAATCAAATCCCTGTAAACCAACACTTGAAAGTTTGTGGGTGACATTTTACATGTATCTAGTAGGAGTTAGTTTCATGGGTTTATGAATAATCAAATTCAGAAGAATAAACTGAATAAATAATAATAATATCTCAATTTGCATATGAGTGAACAAAGAATCAACAAACATTCGCTTTGTTCAAACGTCAATTTCATTATTGATTGAGCGGTTGATTCGAACGCCACTCTACAAAGTTTGAAGATACGGTTCACTGACTTAGACTATCGACCTCTATAAAATGAGTTCCACATTTATACTTCATTCTACTTTGCTTTCAACCAAATACAAGCAGAGAGCGTCCTAGAGACTGTTAAATTGCATTCATACCAAATTTGTGAGAAACAATATCCTGATAAGTTTGTGGACTAAGTCAATTTTTCATAACATCAATGAGCAACAGTATACCTTTATTCTGAATCCAGAAGTAAAAGAAACCACAAAATTTTACCTTTGAGGTGTCCTGCTTGACTGACGTAAATACATCATAATGTTATCAACTAGAGGACGACTAGCAGATTCAATCAATCGACCCCATGTAAGACCTTGAAAAGTATTGATTGTATTCAAACTACTTGATATCAATGCATCTCGTGTTTGATTATCTAAGTGTCCTGTAGCTAAATAATGTACAAGACGTTGACGTTGTTCTAAATGACATACTGGAACACGTTGACCTGTACACGTGTACCACCATGAAGAAGAATTACGTCGTGTAGGATTACTACGAGATTGTGCATGAATGACAATATTCGATTCATCATTATCTCCTGAATGTATTGTATTCATGGGATTGTAAACAACTGATTGACTTTGAGACTTATTGTTTCGATAAGGAGTTGATGACAATGGAGTGCTGTTGGCTAATTTATTCCTGTCTTTATGATGACTATCCATAGAAGTGGCAGGAAGCATTTGTGTTGTTGTTGTTGTTGATGATGCTGATGATGTTGTTGTACTCGTTGATCTGGATGAAACTGTTTTTGACGATGTCGTTGTTGTTATTGTTGAATGGGAAGATGGAGTTGAAATGGCTGAATAGTTGTTTTTTTTTTTAAACAAGAAATAAACGAGAAATATTATCTTTGATGAAAACGTATACATTAATGATTATGAATGTGAATGACAGACGTGAAAATTTTGAAGAATGATAATAAGTGACACATTAATCCTAAATAAAGCCAAGTTACAAAACTAGAGAATCTACAAACTGTGAAAAGACATTGATGCCTAAGTGATTGTTTACATGAAATGACAACAGTTTCATTTTTATACTCTTAAGATTGAGTACACCGATGAATACATGATACCATATACTACTGATCGATTGGTTGATTTCAGTAGTTGAATGCCTACTCACACCAACCACCAGTAGTGCTTGCTAGCCAGACAGATCTCAACACGCTCGTTTGTGGTGGAGTTCAACAACAGCTGTATGCTCTCCCTTTGACTCTCCTCAGACAGCTGAATCAGTTCAAACCATCCAGATTCTGGCTAGCTACTTGGGAGAATCCGATTCTGTGTACTGTGAATATGCCAAAGTAATTAGTCACCATTCAATTGGCTTGAACTGATTCAGATGTCTGACTTGAGTCAAACCGGCTGCACCACAGATGAGCTCGACTACAAACGAGAGAAACGACCGTTCAATATGGCTGGCTAGCAGGCAGTACTGGTTCATGTGAGTGGTATACAACTACTTATACTAACCAGTCAAACAGTGGTATGTAGTGTCATGCATTTATGCTTAGTTGTTTTACCATTTATGGTATCAAGAAGGTCACATCTTGTGATTAATTAAATGATTCGCGAATTTCGAATTTGATTAAAATTCACCAATTTCTAAACTTTGGACAGTGTGCTAATAAGACATGAACAAAAAAGCAAGGCGGAAAGTACAGTATTGTTACAAAGTAAAAAAAAACAACGAACAAACACACAACTGTGTGTTGTACTACTTACCAAATAAAGGTATTCCCACACCATCTGGCCCTTCTGTAAAGCATGGTGGTGTAGATGAAATACAAGATGAACTGTTCATATCTGTAGTATATCCAAATGATGTATTACCTTCACGTTGATCAACCATTTCATAAAACGCACTCTTATTGAATAAGGCTAAATTCCCTTCAAAATCAAAGTCTTCATCGATAAATTCTTCAACACATATACGATCCCAATCAACTGAGCTTTTCTGATGATTATTACTTCCACTTCCACAACTACTAGAATTGCCATTCAATCCAATATTTCCTCCACCACGATGATTGTAATTTTGATTATTACGTGAATGACCACGATTGTGAGCCTGTCGGTTACCGCCGCCGCCGCCGCCACCACCACCACCGCTGAAGTGACCGCGTGTACATGAATTAGGATAACGATTGTATGAGTCACTTTCAGCACCTGATACATCACTTGTTGTGGCAGCTGTTTCTGACACTTGATTTAAACAAAGAAAAAAATAAGAAGGCTAATCAATTAATGACGCGTCTAATGCGAGGTAGTAGTAGTAACATAAAATAAGCATTATGTTGGGTTGAGTTAAAAAAAACTGCTTGGAAGTGTTATAACGTGCGAACGCAACAACAACACTAGGAGTGAAATTAATTAATCACAGGATCTCAAGCCCTAACAAAAACAGTAATGTTATAATCTGCTAAAAGTGAATATTAATACAGCTTTGTAGTGACATAAAACTTGTCTGTTTTCCCTTACAGTTCCTTTAAGAATATATTCATTTCTACAATATGGCAAAGTTAAACCTTAAGTACCACTGACTACCAATCAGTGAATGACTTTGGACGCACCAATCACACGAAGGAGGCACTTTTGACTATGAAATACATATATTTTTGAAAAAAATGCATAAAAACTGTATAAAAGTGTTACAGAGGATACTTTTCTTGCACATATGATAAAGACATCTCCCAGTTTAGTATAGGAGTATCAATGGAAAAGTTACACCACATCCTATACATATATTCATCCAAATGACTATAAATGATACCGTTTTGTGATCGATTAATAGCTCTAATCCAGTTTTTTAACCTTCCGCAAAAGCCTTCGATAGAATTGGTGTGGGTCCCTGTAATGGGATACGCAAAATCATTAGAATGGTTGACTCTGTGATGAATATATCCAAGGGATGACAAAGAGTTATAACCTTTCCACTCATACGTGTGTATTACAGATCCTTTTTCACCAACTGAGTAGTAATTGATATTAAAAGTACTTTACTTTCTATCTGCTATCCTCTCGATGAATCCTTTCCGTAGAGAGGTATCATATAAACCAATCAACCAAACATTATTCACTGGTCCTCTACCACGGTTATATCTTTTCATTAATCTACATGTACGACAACTTTCTCTTCCCAATAAGGAAGTAAGCCTCTCCAATTTCCAGGATGCGATATTCCTGCAGTGCTGATATCACTGAACTGTTGAAACGAGAATATTTCCTGTGTCAGCAGCTGCAGCTCTTACAGGCTGTTTTAAAACCCAGTGATTACAAATAAACAAAATCTGGGTTAAGAAAAGATGGGATCTGACGAATCATGTTCCTAAGAAATATAGGAATCATCAGAAAACGCAACTGCGTCACAGCAGGCATTTGACACGAATCAAGCGGAATAGAAGCTTCAACTAACGTGAATAAAACCCATTGGACCATTCAAGGTCAATGGTGAGGACACAATCCATTGGCAGTTAGTGGTGCTTAGAGTTGAACTTGACCTAAAACACAACTGAAGACATTGACCCCCCCCCCTTTTTTTTCTGCCATCAACAGCCACTTAAATTTTGCTCCTTTACTTTATATGTACTGCCTTATTTTAATTATCGACATAACTGTTCTAACAGTATCTACTTTCTTATTCTTTTAGTGTTAGTGGTGGTAATTACGCTATTTGTTTAATTTTCCCACTGGTTGATTACAGTGGGCAGAAATGCTCGGTCTCAGATGACACATAGGCTCCTGTTACAGACGCTTCAGCGATATCTGAATATTGACATGATGCTATTTGGTTGATGGTGGCTCAATGACCTGGTGGATAATGCTTTTGCCCCCATAAACGATCTGGTGCGACCGAAGTTGAGAAGACTTTGGTCTTCCCCTCGAAACGCTCACATTTGACCACACGTTCATGACCTCTGCCAAGTAAGTCTTATTCACTACCTTCATTCGGCGGGTGTGCTTCACAAAGGTGAAACGGTGGCGCTTACAACTAGACTGGTGGGGAGCTAGAAAACCTTAATTTTAAACCTGTGGTGTATATAGGTTCCAGAAGCGGGTGGGATCAAATAGTGTATGAACCTGTTTTGGTCATCAGCAACCTCAAGAACGTAGCTCTTGATTTTGCTCCACTGCCTTGTGAATCAGACTTCAAGTCAAAGGGCCGGGGGTGGCCCCTCAAAATAACCACCTGCTTCGTTTTGAGCGTCCGAACAGTTACCCTAGACCTCGTGGAACTATGAAATTTTGTGTGGCGCATCTCTTGGTTCCTATAATGTACCAAGTTTGTGTTTTAATAAACAAATGAAATAATGATTTGGTGCTGAGTACGAGTTTCAGTGGGCGCATCATTTATCACTCAACTGAGGATACAGGTACATCCAGCTGACTAATCTCAAATAGGATGAAATGCACATCCTGGATTCCACTGCTAGCCACCACGCACCCAATAGCATAATGACAACTATAATTTATCAGAACTGGAATCTATAAGTTGCAGTATTCAGTAGTTCAAACTGCATAAAATAAATCAAAATTATTAACAAAAACCTCTACAAGTCCAAGTGATGTATAAGTGCCATCTTAGAGATAAGTGCAAAGTGCAAATATAATTATCCACCTGCCGTTGATTATCTTTATTGGTAGTAATGTAACTTCCGTTTCAGGTATCTGAGAATATGACAACATGTAACACTGACTTGTATAAAAGAAATTGAAGTTTTCAATTGAAGGATTCCAGTTGAAATTAGTTCATGCATAGTATAAATTATTATAGATACTAAGAAAAATGTGTTTAAGTGATTTACATACTGACTTTGAACTCAACAAAATAAATATAATATTCACAGGATAGGTCAAAACAGAATTAACTTACTGGAATAACTACGACGTTTAGAAGGACCACGGACTTTTGTTCCACCAAATTTACGAGCAGGACTACAGTCATTTGATTCACTAATAGAAACTTTTGCTAGTCCACTGTCTAAAAGTTGTAAATCATTCAACTGTCCAGATCCATGCTTATCAAATCCTGGTGCACCAGGTGTTCGATGAATAATAGGTGGTGAATCAGGACACACGTAAACATTATAAGTATTGGGAATATTTCTTAACCATTCTCGACGTTGTTCACGAGAAGAATTTGAAGATTTTTTTGTATTTATTATTGGTGTTTCACTGCCGGAAGATTCATCACCACTTGCAGTTGATAAAATACGAATATTTTGGATAAATTGACTCCTGTTGAAACAATTAAAACAATTACTACCACGGCGTGATGAAAAAACATTTTTAGTTAGAAACTAGGGACAATATTTGTAGATAAAAGCACCGGGTTATGAATATATGTGGACTGTAAGGAATAATCATGCAATATATATATACATATACATATATATACATATGTATATATATATATACACATAACACTAAATTCTTAATTCACAAGTTGAAAAACTACAGCTTAGATAACTGAAACATATATGGTGTCCAAACCTCGTATAAATAAATGAAAACAAAACAAAACAAAAATGTAAATTTAACCACTAAATTAGATAAAAAACCTGAGTCATCGGAGTACCAAGATTGACTGACTGACTGGTTTCAACGTAGAACTTAACAAAGAAGTCCAGCAGTTTGAGTTGTCACACACTATGTAGCACAGAAAGCAAGAGAAGAAAGTAAAAAGAAATGCAAAACAGAGACAACGAACACAGACATGAGGCAAAAACAATATTATTATGGAGGAACCATATGGTTTCATCGAATAGTATCAGTCACAAGGAGTGGATGCATCTGCATCAGCTATTGTGAACAATTTTCAGCCGTATCACCAACTGTCTTCAGCCGTCATTGATTTTTACTATCACGAGGACACCAACCAGTCAGGAAGTCTACACCTACCCACGTGACTACCTTAAACTAACTGTTACGGATTTCACTGACTGATGAAGCCATGTTTTGGTTTGACCACCACTAGCTAGCTCTTTTGCAGCCTGATCCAACCTATGTCAGATGACACAGCCTGCGAAGGGAGGCGATGACTAGGCATGCGTAACACACGTCCTAACCATCTCAATCGATGTAACTCCTCTCACTACTGAGTTCTTCTCCTTACCTAGCACTCGATCAGTGCCTCACCTCAATAGTACTCACCCTATCGTGCCACCTAACACAAGAGATAGAACTCAGACACCTATGATCAAAGACAGCTAGTCGGTCTTTCCATGTCTTCCATTTTCAATGACCATGACTCACGACCAGCGATGACGGAGGACAGAGTGAACTGCTGAGAAGTACACACGACCTTCGGTCGACAGCGAGGCAGATATCACGTCTACGCCAGAGATGGCGTAAGTTGACATACAACGAACAAGCCTTCTGCATCGGTGCTGGGATTTCGTCAGCGATCAGCCTGCTGGCGTTGGCTGATGCAACTTTCTCCCCAAATAAGTGAAGTGGTCAACACGCTCCACCAACGACTTCACCCCTTATCTTTAAGCTAGTAGTGAGTCGATGTAGTCCAGTCCTGTGGAATCATCTTACATTTGACTGACAGGAGTGAATCGCACATCAATCATCCGACGATTGTTGCTCAAGGTCTTCAGCGTCTTCACTTAGGAGGACAATGTCATCCGCATACTTTACGTCAACAAGACTATTCCATAGTAATAAGTCAATCCCTGAGTCGCTGAAGTCAGTTAGGGTTGATTCTAACAATACATCTATGATGAAATTGAATAGAAATGGGGACAGTGGGCATCCCTGATGGACATCACTGGTTGGTTGTCATCACTTCAGATGACAACTCTCTCTCTCCGTAGGCTCTTACCTGACTGACTGGCTGGCTGGCTGCGTGACTTCGAGTAGAGTGCCTTGATCATCAGTAAGATGTATTCTCTCTCGGGATCCCCTTCTCGGCCAAACATTGACATAGTCCTGTCTGTCGACGGAATGGAATACCGCTTTCAGGTAAAGAAATATGGGAGTTGTTGGATTCCGGTAAGTATGGCTATGTTAGAGAATCTGTCGAAGGGTAAAGATATGATCAATACATCCTCTTCCTGGTTTAAAGCCTGCCGGATTTTCTCGTGTTTGTTTCTCCCGAGCGCCACTTAGTCAACGCATGGTTATTGAGCCTAGAACTTTAGATATCACATTAGTCAAGCTAATCCTCCTATGATTATCAATCACAGGAAGACTTAAGATATGTGTAAAACTTGGCCACTGTGGTAGTAAGTAATTCCACAATGTGTGATACATCTAATAAACAAACTAATATGGAATCACAGGAAGACTTGTCTCCCATTTTGGATAATGCGACAATCAGTGACTTAAATTACTCCAACGGGGTTATATCTGTGCATCCCAGAGGTTTCCTAATACCTTAATTAGAAGAGTCAGCAATTTGTCACTACCGTCCCCAAACACCCGTGGAGTAGTTGCATCAGGTCCTGCTGCTTTGTCTCGTTTCACGTTAAAGACAGGCCTTGTAACCTCAATTACAGATGGGGGACGTATGTCTACATCCTTTTGAGGTAGGTGTCGGATGGTGGGCGAGTTGAAGCGGTGAATGTGGCTGTAGGCCAGTTAAATTTCTCCTCGAAATGTTCTTTCCAACGTTCTGGTCTTTTATCCTGAGGGATAATGAGGGTGCTATTTTTCTCGGAGACTGTGTCACTTATAATTTGCGTTTTCTCTGATAAGCCTAAATAGTTGTTTGGTGTTACCTATTTCTGATGCCTTTTCCAACTCTTTCGCTTTCTTCACCCATCACTGTTTACAGTCGATGCGAAGAGTTTTTTCAATCAGCTTTTGAGCAGTTTTCGCTCCTCATCGTGTTCGGCTTTCGCCGCAACGAGTCTTCATGGGTTAATCAGTTCGGATGAGGTTATAAGTTATTAACAGCCTTCACAGCTGTGTCTACAGTGAAGCGTAAATTGTCAAAGGCTTCTTCAGGAAGTCTTGTTGTTTATCTCAGGTACGTGTTTAGCCATTTCTTCCTTAATTAAGGACTCAGTGTCCTTATCAAGTTGGAGGCGCAACTGCTTCGCTGCAACAGTTTTTTATGTCCGTTTAATCATAAGCATAAAAGTGAGCGAACCAGAGCGTGATCGGAGTCTACGCACGTATCCCAGAATAAGCGGTAATCTTCTACCGACTAGCCCCAACGACAACCTATCGCTATGTGGTCTATTTGAGTCAAGCGTTAATTTGGTGATAGAGGTCGCCAGGTTACGCAATGTCTCTTCGTGCCTAAAGTTAGTGCTGACTGGGAACAGATGATTATCTGAACAGAATTGTAGAAGGCGGTCATCGTTGTCGGGTCGTCGGCAAGGAACTCCGTACGTAACACCTATATACTTCTCAGTCTGGTATAATATCCCTACTTGGGCATTGAAGTTGCCTGCTAAAACAACTATATCTGAGCGTTTTGCTTTTTGCAGCAAACTAAACATTTTCTCGCAAAAGTCATCCTTTAGTTCATCCAAACTGCAGTTTGTTGGAACGTAAGTGGAGACTATGAAAAGACAACGACGGGTAACGTCGTCCATCTTTCTTCTAACGGACCCGTTCAGACGGACCGCACACATACGACTATCTACTGGGATCCAGTCAAGAAGGGACTTTTCTGTCGTAACACTCAGTGCTATCCTACACCTGTATTAACAGTGGTGGGGAAGTAAGATGATGAGGGTGACAGAGATGAAGGAGAGTGATGATCAGGAGGGCTTCATGTGCTTTAAGAAGTGTATGGGCGGCTGTTTCTTCCCGGCTGCCAAAATCGTGGAAGTTGGTGTTTTCTTGGGGTACCTGAAACAGAAAAAGAATTAGTGTTGCGTGACCAGAGCCCAGTGTACAACTTCTTGAGGCCTGTCACACACGGCCTGCATTAACTGGTTTCTTGGATTGGTTCCGTATTAGTAAACTAACCGCCGGTTACAGACCACTGTAAGGTGAGTCGGGATGTACAATTGCTGGGGTCGACCTTGTTAACCCCCTCTCTCTCCAGAGTGGACAGACAGCATAGCTGGCATGATGGTCGTTTGGGGGAAACACCTTAATGCTGTTACATCCCCATTCCCCAGTAGTGCGTTTTCGCCCACAGACTCCCCAGCATAGTGTAAAAATTCTTACACTATGCCGGTAACTGCTTTTGGCCTAATCGCTATCCTAACAACTTTTCTGGCATGGTAGGAGCTGCAGGAACATAAGTCCCAGCCAGTGTAACTTGTTGGGTCATTGAGATATACAAGGCCGATCCCCACGTCAAGGTAGCAGCTATCGGTCGGGTCAGAGTACTAAGAATCAAGTGTTGGTGACATGGTTCGAAATTGATTACAGCAGTGCAGATATATTCACCCCTCGAACTGATACACTTTTGTGCAAAGTTCTACGATGATAAGTAGGTCAGTCAAATCAGTAAGAAAGTGCAAAGGCAGACCGAATCAACGCAAGAGGCAGAATTAAAGCGTGATATTACAAAATGCCTCTCATTGTACCTCATCAACTATGTAGAAAAATAGGGAATCGTATTGCATTATACGACGGAGTAAGGTAAATGAACAACGAAGCTACTATGATAAAAAGGTAAGATATGAACTCATTAATACCTTTGACTGATTCTCCGTCAAATAATTTAGTCTTCATATACGGTTTCTAGTGATCGAGTGGACTCTGGGAATGATTTAGTGTGAATAAAACCAAAATGGACGGAACTATGAATGAGTTAAGGCAAGTTAAAATAATTCAAAACAGCATGACTGAAGAACCAACAGGAGAAAAGTACGAAAACTGTGAGAAGGGTAGTAAACAGATCCAAGCTAGTGAGCGCTGCCCTTAAGTATCTGATCATTTGAAAAGGTATAAAGATCAGTCCTAGGGGAAAATAAAACGGTTTGAGTAGATCACGAGTTTGAGTCCCGCCCCACATACTCGCCTGGGCTACTAAGGAGCACCATCAGACATCGCATAAGTAGTTTGTAGCCCGGTATATGAAAAACGTGTTTCGGGTGGATGGGGTTAATGTTCAAACACCTTTTATGGGTCAACAATCCGAGGTTTAGGTATTCAAAAATATGTAATTGACTGATAGAGTTTCGGAGTAGAAATTTGCACATACGTGCAGCAGTTCGAACCGCCACACTACATGCTACACTTCCATAAGTGACTGCCTCAAACCAAAAGTCAGAGTAAATGGATTTGGGAAGTTGCATCCGCCAACGCCAGCAGGCTGATCGCTGACGAAATCCCAGCACCGATGCAGAAGGCTTGTTCGTTGTATGTCAACTTACGCCATCTCTGGCGTAGACGTGATATCTGCCTCGCTGTCGACCGAAGGTCGTGTGTACTTCTCAGCAGTTCACTCTGTCCTCCGTCATCGCTGGTCGTGAGTCATGGTCATTGAAAATGGAAGACATGGAAAGACCGACTAGCTGTCTTTGATCATAGGTGTCTGAGTTCTATCTCTTGTGTTAGGTGGCACGATAGGGTGAGTACTATTGAGGTGAGGCACTGATCGAGTGCTAGGTAAGGAGAAGAACTCAGTAGTGAGAGGAGTTACATCGATTGAGATGGTTAGGACGTGTGTTACGCATGCCTAGTCATCGCCTCCCTTCGCAGGCTGTGTCATCTGACATAGGTTGGATCAGGCTGCAAAAGAGCTAGCTAGTGGTGGTCAAACCAAAACATGGCTTCATCAGTCAGTGAAATCCGTAACAGTTAGTTTAAGGTAGTCACGTGGGTAGGTGTAGACTTCCTGACTGGTTGGTGTCCTCGTGATAGTAAAAATCAATGACGGCTGAAGACAGTTGGTGATACGGCTGAAAATTGTTCACAATAGCTGATGCAGATGCATCCACTCCTTGTGACTGATACTATTCGATGAAACCATATGGTTCCTCCATAATAATATTGTTTTTGCCTCATGTCTGTGTTCGTTGTCTCTGTTTTGCATTTCTTTTTACTTTCTTCTCTTGCTTTCTGTGCTACATAGTGTGTGACAACTCAAACTGCTGGACTTCTTTGTTAAGTTCTACGTTGAAACCAGTCAGTTAGTGATGGACTGATCTCAGGTTTTGATTTGACCACCCCTAACTCTTCCCCAAACTGATCCTGTGTCAGTCAACATTAATCGTAGTGGAATGCGGTAATTCGGCATGCCTAACACATGTCCTAACTAACTCAACCGATACAATCTCACAAGTAGGCTTTTAGAGATTAAAACAGAATTGAATTGATATGGCGCAACTTATAAAGACAGGAACATTGACAGGATGTGAATGTGACAAGTGTAATAATAGTCAAATATTAAAGCACATTCGAAAACGACGATGAGTGGACACTATAGTGCCAAACTATGGACAGTTAATGTCGAGAACTAGATAAAAACTGGTTGGACTTGTAAAAATAAATTTATAAAAATTGAATAGATTTTTACGTAAAAGAAGTGTACACAACCAGAATCAGTTTCTAGACTGTTAACCAGTTATGAATGCAAACTAACCTACATCAACATTTCGTTTCTTGTTTGAAGGCACCCAATTCCATAGGATGTCTTAATGGACTTAAATGCTGAGGCTATTGGAAATTAACTTTACCCTACATCGAAATCCGTTTTACTTCATCTACACAACATCTAAACTTGAGATAAAGGTACTGTCTGGCGATGCAGTTCCTTAACAGTTCAAGTCACATATAACATGAAGTAAACGGGAAATGTGGAAAGTAAAGTAATAGCTTTCAGAGATGAATTATGCTTTCTCGATTTACTGTTTCGAATGTTCATATCCTATTTCCAGGATAATGGGAATATGGAAAGAAGCACAATGAACCTGCTAACTACTCAGTCCCGATTCAAAAGCCAACTGACTGGGCTATTTCGCTTGGGCTATTTCCTGTCGACTAGAGTGAATACTGTCTGTCCTACAACTTAATACACGTATACAATACATATAGTATTTTAATTAGCACCTTTAGTGAGGGATTCATGTATACGTGTTTTTCACCGAATAGGGCACTTACATCCTAAATGCCGATAATGATGGTTCAACTACATCTGAACCAAGAACTCATGGAAATAGACAAATCACTATCTGGATTACCTGCAAACAATAATCACCAGTGTTTCCATAAAAATAGTTGCAAGTAAAATTGGACAGGAATATGGCATGAAACTTAACATGGGACTTACTCAACAGCAAAAGATGGAATTGTAGGCGGAAAATCGTTAATAATAGCGTTCGTAAGACTTATTTTTTTGTCGGTGACGCTTGAAACAACACCGACAATCTTCCCAATCTCAGATGATGTAAGCTCAACTCTGAATCCAGTGTATTGACTCGTCATTAGTACGGTGAGTGGAGTTAATCAAACGCCCACCACTCCAAACTGCCTTAGCTCGAAATTTTTTATAACTGCCGCGCTCTGGTTATGAAATAATACTGTGTAAATAAAGATGTTTAACAAGGAAGTCCTTTAGAGTTCAAAGCCCGTAAGTAGTAAGGTTTTGAGATTTTAAATGTAAGTTGAGACATTAGCTATTATTTATATGCATTAGAATATTTTTATCCGTCTTACTTCTTCTATGTATTGTGAACAACACGTGTGAAGGCATCTAAAATAATGGCTCTTTTGATAGGTGATATAGCTCTCAAGATGTTCACAGCTAAGCTCAATCGCAAAATAGATTGCATTTAACCTTCACCATGGTAATTTAACGTTTGGCGAAAGTTTTCCTAGAAGGACTCGTCAACTCTGGATGCTCTACTAGCCTTTTGACTACCGAGGCCGTTACAAGGACTGTGTCCTCATGCGCCTTTCACAGGTTATCGGATAGAGTGATGGCTGAAAATCTTAAAGTTTCCAATTCCGAGGTTTCGACAGCATCCCTAGAAGACTGTTAGGGAAAACGTTTTCACGGGACGTATCTAGGTCATGTCTACTCAGTGGTCTTCAAGGCTAAGTTAATTGATTATCCCACAGAGTTTTGTGTGTTTGCTAGAACAGTCTGTTAGGCAGCAGACCTAACACCGTGCCTAGGTTTTCATGTGTTACTGATGAAGCGAATGAGACAGCTGTTGAAAATACGCTGCGAGTTTTTCAGGTTGATGTCACATATGGTGGCCAGGTAAATTAGGACTATTCACACATAGTGATGTTAGGCAGACATTTACTGAAGATATTCCAGTGGAAAATGAAATACCCGACGTAGAACTGTCCAGCAGATGACTTCGAAACCCCATCCGTCTACTGAGGAGTCCATCAAACCTCCGAAATCTAGTAACTGAATTTGACTCCCGTCTAAATCTGGCAGAATTGATACTGAATTTGTAAGGGAACACCAACAGACCGTCACTACTCCAGACTCTCAGTTCTACAGCCAACACAGCAACCCATTGAATTATGCAGGCCTCCTAAATATGACCGATCCTTCACGACGAAGGACTTAAACAGACTTGTTAAGTGCACAATTTCCGCAGAAAAGAGATGATTTAGTGACGAATGGATGGACAGTTAATGTTTATGGATGCCAGTTATTTGGGCTACTTGAATAACTTTAAGACCGCTACTAGAAACAACGCTCATGACTGGTGTGGCCATGTATACTGCTATACCTGGGTTTCGGCCACACTACTTGTCAACTTTGACCTAATTCATATAACCTGCTGGTCAGGCTACTCTGAGCACCATCACAATTGGTGAAGAGAGAATGTAACACTTGTGACTATTCAATGAGGCGTTTATTAAAGATGGTACACTATCACACCATGACGAAGCGGCCACACTCTGGTCCCTTGAAGTCCGATTGTTCTCAGTGGGATTCAGTCAGAACACAAAATTGACCCCTGAAGGCTGAAGTTCGAATAACCAGGAGAATTTCTTTGGCTCCCCACAAGGTATTTGGATCAACTTCGAACTAATCCCTATTGAAATCCATCATCTCCCATAAATCTGTCTGGTTTCCTGTTTTTGTTTTGTCCAGTCTCCACTTAGTTTTCATGGGGCTGTGGACCCACAAGCTCAAATACCATGTGAGTCCCTTTATTATCAGGGGAATTTGGTGTCGTATGTAGTGGAATGAATAGCGATCTAGGCGATTCTCGTGAATCTCCCTTGGAATCTCAGACACTGGCTAACACCTTGGTTAGTCTAATAAATAATTCATCACCGCCGCAAAATGAGCGCGTCAACAATCTTGCCATTAGGCCCTGCTGCTTTGTCCCACCTCGGACTGGAGATAGCTTCTTCAACTTTCGAAAAGACTGAAATTTCAACACCTGCATTCCACGTAGGGTTGTGGGGTAGTTAAGTGGAGTGCAATGTTAGATTAGCCAAAGTGCTCCTCAGAATGTTCCGATAAGCGTCCATACTGTCCCTCATGGGAATTTTTTCAGAAATAACTTCACTTACCGTATGGTTTTTGCCATTTGTTTCCCTTATGAGCTGTAATAGTTGAGGGGTATTTTCTACTACTAGTATCTCTTCCATTTCTTTCCATTTGGTTACCCAGTGCTGTTCACAGTGGTTGTAAAGACAATTCTTTGTTTTAAGATTAAGCAGCCTTCTCCTCTCACCACCCCAGAAGCCCTCTTGTGTTGGCCATCATGCATACCTCAGCTTGGAAGGAACCTTAGATATATAGCAGAAATGACTTCGGGTGCGGGTTATTAACTACATCTTATACTGTCCCTATACCATACTGGGAGTGGTGGCCGACTTCCTCAAGATGGGGTTTGCCGACATACTAAGGAATGTGCTTATCTACCTCCTCCATGAATACAGATTTTAAGTTTTTATCAGAGTTGGACGAGTAATAGCTCCATAGTTGTTTGCTTCCCACGTCGCTTAAGTGGTGATCACATACATGTGAGGAATGACGGGTGAATGAAATTCAGGAAGGGGAGGCAGTCTTCCACCAACCCTCTCAATGGACAACTCATATCTAAATGGCCCACCTGTTTCCCTTTATAGCCCGAAGTTGATGACCACAATATGAAACAATCCTCCTGTTCATGTTTTAAAATAGTAACCATTAATTACCGAGAAGAAATTTTGAGAAACGATTGCACTCATGGAGTCGCCAGGATTAGACTGCACAGGCACCTTTTAGACAGGCCCTCCTTCCTTATTAAGGAGCTCAGATCAACTCCTCTGGAGACCATATTTTGGTGTATTGCTTTCAGGAACCAGCCAGATGGCTTTCACAACAAAACTCATCCATTTTTATCTTCCTCCAGCGATTATGAGCAGACGCCGAAAGGTTTCATGATCTTTCACTCTCCTTACAGATTTGTTCAGCTGGACAGCACACAGACTACAATCTACTGGGATCCAACGCAGCACGATACATTATCATGCTGAGCTTAATATTATTTGTACAGTAACTAGCCCACTGGAACTAGTCGAAGAATATCCTGATACCGGTTAGTTAATCTTCTGACTCACTATGCTTAATATGTTGGGTTAAGTGAATGCAAATAATTGAGTCTCCGAAACACAAAATATATCCGAAACCCAAGACGAAAGAGTTTTCAGTGGTGACTCTTTTTTCTGACTTGACACAAAGTATGAAGGCTGCAAAATGGGGTTGGAAGCACAGTTTTCATATGCCAGGAACTCTACGTCTCTGGTTAATATCACTAGTAATGATGACGGGGTTAAGAACTAGCGAATAAACTGCATGTAGTGTGGCGCTATCAGTGGAATTCGACACAACTGTAGTTGATAGACGGAAGGATCTAGTGTGCTAATGGAAGGCCCCGCTCATCTGCTTATACCGGAGAAGTTGATTTATTCTTAGATTACCTGGAAGAGAAAAATTATGGGTTTCACATGGCCAGAGATTAAAGGGAACCACTTCTTGAGACATGTCACATATGGCCAATTCAGGGATGGTTACCCTAATATACAGTATGCTGTATACCATTTAGGAAATGATAATGCAACCAATCACCTGCATAGGACTCGTGTTTGCACGACCGAAACCTTACTCAACTAGTATCATCTAGGTCCTTAGTCAATAACGGCATATGCTGAATAACTTAAAGCTTATCACAAAAGTGATAAAGCATAAAAAACACTTGCAAAGTAGGAGACGAATCCCGAGTGGATGAAGAGGTTACTGAAAGGTATTTATTTGTCATTTAGCAAAGAACAAGATTAAGAACTGCAATTATCATTTGTTGACATTCTGGAGACCATTATTCAGTGTTTCGCATTTGGTTATGCCTAGCCTGTGTCATTCTGCCTGACTTTCAGTATGACTTCGCAAAGAAGTCCAACTGTTCAGTTTACCACACTCCATGCACCACACAAAGGTAGAGACATAAAACTAAATGGAAGTTTAACGAGCGAAAATTTGAGGGAAAATAAATAGTGACAACATGAGTTGAATAGATACATGAGATTACACAGAGTGAATGCATCTGTACCATAAACAAAGACTTGCAGACATATATCTAGTAGTTCTTCTAGCTGACTGTCAACGATTTTATGAACCAATAGCAGTTTTTCATTCGACCGACCCAAACACATTTTGAACCTTAACATGTGCTGGCTAACATTATCCCTCGGGGAAGGCGATGGCTTGGTATGCAATCACGTGTTATAGCAATCTCAACCTATTCAGCTTCCCAACCTTGAAGACTAACTTACCCTCCTCACCTAACACTTTATGCGTAACCTCAAGAGCAATCGCCATATTATACTGCTTTAATCATGAGATAGAACACAGACACCTATAATCAAACACCGGTATTCTGTTCATATTTTCCAGTATCAGGGGTAACTGCTCATAGTCTAGGTGTGCAGTATCATCATTAAACTGTAAGTTGATGAGGATGATAAGTCTCTAAAGCCATTTATAGACTATCCTACCTATAAATGTGATTGGATTGAAATGATATAAGGATGACAGTTTAAGAATTCAGCCTTGTGTTACATCCCAATTGGAAATGTGTTTTCTCGGATAATTCGCAAACAGTAATCACTAAATAGAAAACATTCTGTAGAATTTATGAAACTCATTAACTGACGCAATACTTTTGCAGGCATTATAGTGTTTCCTCAATAAAGCGAGATTCGTGTACTTCGGCTGCACAAAACGAGTAAGTGGTGTCCTGGCAATATCAATGTCAACAACAAGTCTAGGAATTATGCACTACAACTTTTACTTTACTGAATACTCCAGCAGATGTCAAATAAACACTTGACAAAGATCAAATTTATACAGGAAGTCAGTAAGATTTACTAAACTAAAAGCACTTTCGGTTTACATAGGAGATCTCCATGCCGAATTTATTCCTCCGAGGGCCTACACAGATTACAATTTCAATTAAATAACATTGATGTTGAAGAAATTCCATTCTTCATTACTAAACTGAATGATAATAATAATGTTTTTATTCTAGAAACAGGAGCATTCCTAATGTTTCACTTTATGTAAATGCAGTTACATACAGTTGCACTAAGAACTTAATGCAACTCGGTGCACAATAGTATATACACAAATAAACTGAAAAATAACGTCCTCTTTACCTTCTGAACAACTTTTCCTTATTACAGGATAATAACTTTCTTTCACGTATGAGCCTGAGATATGTCTATGAAATCACAATATTATATCAGTTAAATCTCGCCCCGAAACCAAGGCCACTTGAAACCAATAGCAACATAGAGACAAACGTCATTGAGGGGAAATGCAATAAAGTCGCTCGCAATTACTCAGTAAATTTAGACATTCTAATGGGATTAGCAAGGATAATATTTGTGTGAATGATGAAATATTTGCCATATTGTGAATGTATTTAGTGAAATAAATATTTTTTAAATTTTGTACTCCATTTATACACTATTAATACTTACTGTTTGTCAAGTTGCAGAGTGATGCCATTGTAGAAGACGCAATATTCATGAAATGTCATATTTACACGTGGTTAAATTTGGTCACGATGGGATACTCTTATCGCTTTTGAGTACTGCTTCCTACAGTAAATCTTAAATAGGAGATATGCACAAGAAAAGCCTATCTAATGCGTTGCAGTATTTTATGATAACAAAATAATCAATGGAGTCTAGTGATGTGGCCAACTAATACACAAGTCTAAGTGTTGATGTAATCATGTAAGAGCCTACTGATACGAAATGATAACACAAGAAGAGCAATGTAGTTATCTCTTTATTACCTAATGATTTCCTTGGATACAGTGGTGTTCAACGCAACATAAGAATAGTAGACTATTTGTGATAAATAGGTGCGTCGGTGGCATAGCGGTTAGGATGCTGGCCGACCATGCATATGGTCCGGGGTTCGATCCCCGGCCGACGCACTCCTTTACCTCGCTAAGCCAGAAATAATGTTGGTGAAGAGGGAAGGTTGGGCATGAGGCTAGCAACCTCATCCTGTAAAAATAAACACTGCTACAGAACCTTCAAGCCTTTAGCTTGAAGCCCTATGTTTCACTGAGGACGTGAAGGAAAAAAAGAAAAGAAGAAGAATATGATAAGTAGGATATACGTTACATAGTGTACTTGAAGTGCCTAGACTACCAATACAAGTCATGTACGTATAGAACCTTCGTTTGCTAGGTTATGTTCCGTTAACACATTACGAACAATCGTGAATACTAATATTATACGCAACCGGATCAAACGTAACTGAAACACTTTACGCAAGGCTTGATGACCCATTGAGGAAATAATAACAGTTTAAGACTGACGCGTTTCACATAAGTATTAATACGTTGCCTATCATTCTTGTTAACTCTGCAATGTCCTCAAAATGATAAGTGAAAGAGGCAAGGTTTGTCGACATAAATGCATATACTTCCAAGGGAACAATAATCAGTCATGTTAAAATAATAGAAAATGAAGTAGTACATATCTGCACTAAAAACAGTTAATAACGATCCAGTGAAAAAATCACAGTTGTAGAGCGTTTTATAGCTGCGTGATAATCATCATAAAGTCCACTAAACACTCAATCCGCAACATCTGCACCAGTTTGCCTCCGTTGGTAGTGGTGTTGGACCTGTCTATGCAGTTTTCGTCACCACCAGATCCGTTCGGAGAAACTGGATGTGAACTTTTCAAGCAGAGATTGAAATTGTTCTTCTTCAAATACCTTCGGTCGCATTGAGAAATACTGAGGATGGATACATATCAGGTGAATTAATCTTACCTCTGGTGAACAATTCCTTATTTTTAGCCACTTAGAATATGTGAACAAGGTAGGGAGCAATCACAGAGCTGGTGAAATTCTACAGATTAGTCGTCCATGTATTACACGATATATATACAACTGGTGTGTCCTACATATATAGGAATATATATATATATATATAACTGTGGAACTTACGAATCACCTGTCACACTTTCTCTTCTTTAAAAAACAAATATTATAAACGTGACACTCATCCATCCGTTACAACCAACTGAAAGAGATCAAATCTCCAAACTTTGTACTTCTTTGATTAAGTAACCCAGTAATATTCTTATTGTAGGTGGACTCAATGCTTAGCACATCTGTGAAATTTATACACATGTTAACTTGTTCCCTTAAGCTAAAAAATATAATGTCTATCCGATTATATTATTGTTATTTCAAAGCCTGCCTCAGTAACGTAAAACACGTATTAGCCGCAACGTTTATGCAAAGGAAAATTTACCAATCACAGTGTGCGTAAGTGACCTTCAAGTGCTCAGCCTCTCCATGAGCCATTTGTACCAAGCTGTGGACATTGCTAAAGCTGTTACTAAATGGACAATAGTCATACTTTTAATTTACTTAAGAGTGACAGAAATATTGGACCAGTTGTCACAAGTTAAAGGCTCATGGTTCATCAGTATAGACACTTCCCACCACAAGTGTCAACATAGTGAAAATGTGGATAGTTGAGTTGTCAACTTTCAAATAATTGTTGTGTCTCGGTGTATCGCACGGAGTTTCACACACACTTATTTAGACGCTATTACATGTTGGTGGGAACAAACAGGGATGTGGCTGACAGGCTTAAGCACTCGACTTCCAGTCAGTTAGTCCTGAACTCAAATCCTGCTCCATTTACATCAGCTTGGGTAACTAGATGGCATCACCATCCCATACACATGTTTGGCTCATAGCTTGGGACAAGAAAGACCTGCCATGGAGACTGAGTCCCATCATGGTTGGTACAGGATGTCCGTATCGTATTATAAAGGAAGTATTTCGTTTAAAAATACCATTTGTACATACTTTTAGTTCATACATATGTGTCAACTAATCACTAATGTGAAACTGGAATCTGCTGAGAAGTTGGCTATCACATCTATGGCTGTAAAACCTGAATTATTTTTCTAGATGTTACCTGGCACTCCCTGACTGTGAAGGGAGTGCCAAGAAAGTACATTGCACTAATCAAGGCACTCTACTCAAACTCACGTAGCTGTGTAAGGGCTTATGGGGAATTGTCATCTGAATTGATAACAACCAGTGGTGTCCGTCAAGGATGTCCACTTTCCCCTTTTCTGTTTAACTTCATCATAGATATGCTAATGGAAGTATCCTTAACTGAACTTAATGACTTAGGAATCGACTTGTTACCAGGGAATAGTCTTATAGACTTAGAATACGCAGACGACATAGTCCTGTTAGGGGAGGACGCTGACAGAATGCAGAGTCTTCTGAACACCTTGAGCAGCAATCTTCGTATGTTTGGCATGCGATTCGCCCCTGTGAAATGTAAGATGCGGCTACAGGACTGGACTACGTCAACTCCTAGCTTAGTGATAGGGAGTGAAGTGATAGAACATGTTGACCACTTCACCTATTTGGGAAGTTGTATCAGCACCAACGGATTGATTGGTGACGAAATCACAGCACGGATCCAGAAAGCTAGGGCTGCTTTCGCTAGCTTACACCATCTCTGGCGTAGGCGTGACATCCGGCTGTCAACCAAGGGACGTGTATACTGCTCATCAGTTCGCTCCGTCCTTCTCTATGGCGGTGAGACGTGGCCATTGAGAGCTGAAGACACGAAGAGATTGTCTGTTTTTGACCACAGATGTTTACGATCTCTTTCTCACGTTAGGTGGTATAATAAGGTAAGTAATGTTGACGTTAGGCGTAGTGTTGGGCAAAGAGGGAAAATCACTCGAAGAGGCTATGAAGTTACATAGATTGAGATGGTTAGGCCACGTGCTGCGCATGCCTGACCATCGTCTCCCCCGACGGGCATTACTAGCTGATATAGGTGCAGGCTGGAAAAGAGTAAGCGGTGGCCAAACAAAAACATGGCATCAATCCATGAAATCCCTGACAGTTAAACTGGGTCAGGTAGGGAGACGCAGACTTCCGGGTTGGGGCCCTCGGGACTCTAAGAATCAATGGCTGGAGACACTAGGTGACATGGCTCAAAATCGTTGTCAGTGGCGCAGATGTATTCAGTCTCTGTAATCTTTCATGTTCCTTTCTACCATTACTCATTATGTTTCACTCTTATACTTATCTAAATTCTATTGATTCTCTTCTCTCCTTTTCCTGTCTACCTTTGTGTGCTATTTGGAACGTGGCAACTCGAACTGCTGCACTTCGGTGCCAAGTTCTATGTTGAATCCAGAGAGACAGATGTTACCTGAATTCAGCAGTTGGGGACTGTTAAATGTACTTGAAAACCAGTAGTAGTTGTTCGGATACTCAAATCCACCGTAGTTTTCTTTCTGAATTTGAACACTTAATTCTTATATGTGTATTTTAATTGCAGTCCTTTTGTTAAGGTCTTGTTGTGTCACTAGTTTGAACAAAATATAACTTTGTAAAGTCTCTAATTATTTGTTTGTATGTACGACATAAGTCTAGAAAATGTTTGGTAGCATAATCATAGGACTATAACTTTCCGTAATGTCATTAATTTTGGAAATTTTGTTGTTTGCTAGGGAACATTCTTATAACGCATCACGTTGACGTATCAGAAAGTTTTCCAATGGATTTCACAATTCTAACGTCCATTTTATCTGGTGGTTTGGGTGTTTTTGCAGGTTGGTTTATTTTTCGGAGATTTGGAAGAACGGTAAGTGCCTTAGATTCTTAGTGAACGTTTAATCGTTTTCTGTCGAAAGGCTAGTGTCAGATCACAGATGACTAATTTCAAGCATGTTCCTGGTAAGATGAAAATGGTTTTAATAGTTCGTTCTGATCTCAAAATGGGGTGCGGAAAAATTGCAGCTCAGGTAAAACGGTCCATAATGTCTCCCAGATTATGAATGTTTTTCCAATTAGTGTTCACATGCCGCACTTGCCTGTTATGAAGAGATTATTAGTCAGAATCCTGGCATTCTAAAAACATGGGAAAGTCAGGGACAGCCAAAAATTGTTCTCAGGGTGGACAGTTATGACGATATGTAAGGGTGAAAAGTTCTTAGTTTTTACAATAAATCCTTTTTTCTAGGCTTAAGTTATCCAACAAAGCTGAATCATTAGGTCTTGTAAATTCAATTATACACGACGCTGGACATACTCAGGTTGCAGCAGGTACTGCAACAGTCCTTGGTATAGGACCAGGTTTGATCTCTGTCCTTTCTTCATATTAATTTCTAAATTTTGTAGGTTTAGCTTCTGAAATTGATCGTGTTTCCGGTGATCTAAAGTTGCTTCCTTGAGAAAATTCACACACATGCATTTTATGTACAGTACTGAATTGTATTGTATCATTACTAGATCGCTAAAATAAATATTTTTGATATTTTCCACGTTTTTAATCTGATTAGTGATTTCCAGAAACAGACTATCTACTGACTTTATTGGTTTATTCAGAAAATATGTAATGATGAGCACATGGTGTTTCCGAATAGCAAATACAATTATAGTGATTAAGAACTTCACAATAACAACAACTTTTATAGTGTCTTAATGTGGCACATATGATCAATCCGTCTTTCAACTAGATGAGAAGTTTTAAATAAACTGGATTTTTTCACGTGGTTATATTACTGTCAGTTGTTGTAGTTATGGTATGTTACACATATTCCACATCAGCTTATTGCGACTTAAGGTGTTCATTGAATTCCGAGTACTGTTAAAATTATACTGAAAAAATCTGTTTCACAAAACATCCACCAGCAGGCACTTAGAGCCATTCCTACTGCTAGACAGTGAATTTACCAGTGACTAGTTTATTTAAAATAATTTCGATGGTTATTTTTGGGAATGCTATGAATACGGAGTATTTTTAGACTATTATTGCTAATGCTGACGCTGGTTAATAAATTGTTCAGTCTTCGTTTGACTGTCTTAATCTCATTTGTAGGTGGTTAGGTAAGCCTCTATTATTCATCTGAAACATAAACTTCGTAACACTTACAGATGCATCACATAAAAGTAAAAAAACAATGTAGGGGAAAAATAGGACAAATTAGGGACATCATAATGAAAGCAAGTAAGTGCGCTTATCAAGAGCATTCGAAGGAGCGTTCATGACTGTATTACTATCAAAAGGAGAAGGTATTAGGAAATTACATCGTGTTCGCTATTGATTCCGATTCTCAGATAACGTCTGGAGCCACTGATTCCCATGTTCTCTCAGACCCCAAGAAGGCAATGGTAACACACCAAAAGGTGCGCACACAATATAACTGTCCTTTCCACGGTGCCAATTCGTAACCAGGGCTGTGCGCATAGAAGGGATGTACACCCGACCTTTCACAACCAGACTAGTAGTTCTAGAAGCGGTTTAGATTAGTGTATGAGACCCTGGATTTCACTATAATGTTAGGAATTTCACCCACAACACCATCACTAAAAAAACTACCTAAATATACGGACTTATCGGCTGCTTCTAATGGTCCACCTATAAGGGTGAGTGCAGGTACAGACTCCTACCGATGTTGTAACGATACTTAGCATTTAGATGAAGCAATCACATGACATACAAACACAGTCGCCAAATGAATAAGTGAAAAGTAAGACGATATAGTTTCTTCTCTAAGGTAGCGGATCTACATCACCACTTATTTCAGAACCGTCTGCAGAATGTCATTGATGGCGAAGTCAAAGGAAAACCTAATCTTTTCTCTCCCGACTGGCTAATTAAGAGCAGTTGTGATAAGTGGTTTCATGCTATCGTTCTACCTGAGGTGTTTTTGTATACGGCTTCCAGAATGTTGACCAACTGGCCGTAGAGCATTCTGATGGTGAATACTGGCATTATTGACTAAGTAATGTGTTTCTCGCAGTGCTCAACGCAGCGTTCCAGAAGTCTCTTTAGATTCTTAATTGGCATTCCACCTAAATCACAGATCATTTCTTGGTGCCACTCGCTTGTTCATTCATTTATATTATACATAGAATCTGTATTTGAGGTGATGAAGTTTTTGGCGAGCACGTAGAATATGATGATATGCTAGTACGCGTTTATAATCCTTCACCCCCAAAATACTTGTTTAATTTGTAGAGGAAACAGGTAGAAAACCAAGGTAGAACAACGATTTGATGGAAGTATATTTCGGGGTCGTTAGCATTGGGCATTAATTGTACCTAACTAACTGAGAATCGTTCGTGAACAACCGAGAGTAACACGAAACCATGCCAAATGGCTAGGGTGGTTGTTTGAACTCAGTTACTTGGAGCAGACCTTTCATGTACCCAGCTAATAGTTACACGTATTTTGTGTGATGGCTGATAGTCCTATCCAGTTGCTCAAAATGAACGTGTTGGAAGACTCGAACCCGACAGCCATTAGTTGGAATCCTGGTGCTTAGGCTGATATCCACATCTCCGCATACTGCTTACATTCAGCTTAACTAACTGATTACAATGGCCTTGAGTTTAGCTAGTTCTGGTATTTGCTGTAATAGTAGGTGAAACCAGTTTACTTACGTTAACCTGTGTAGGACGACGTTTATGGTCACCACCCAGTAGCAACGTAAACCTGGCACACATCAAGACATGGTCGGAATCCAGACAGTTAGTTCTGAATAAGTGGCAGTCATGTAAACACTCACGTCGTCGGTAGCTGATAGCAGTATGATGTCTTTGAGTTCAGACTTGAGTAGCAGGAGAAGGACTAAACCAGATAGCATTATGGCAATGGCTGTGCCGAAGGAAAGTACTCGCTGGAAATAAGGCACTCTACTCGAACTCATGGCATCAGATGAGAGCCTACGAATAGTTGTCATCTGAAGTGGTGACAACCAGTGGTGTCCTTCAGGGATACCCACTATCTCCATTTCTGTTTTAATTTCACCATAGATGTACTAGTGGATTTAACCTTAGCTGACTTCAGCGTCTCAGGGATTGACTTGATACCACTTGATACTCGTGTATTTTACCTATTCTTCTTTACTGTTCACCCTTATTCTTTCCTGGATTGCTTAAAAAGGACTATGTCATACTTCGTAGAACTCTGAAGACTGTCAGTAGGACGAGTGGTATCCCATTGGGCCATATCGTTGATATTGTCACTGATAGGCACTTGATGTCATGCAACAAATTCGCTAAAGGAATTTTGTCAGACTCTGAGCACCCACTCTACCCGCAGCTCCAACCTTGTGTCTCCTCAGGTAAAACAAGAAGTCTTTTCAGAAGAATTTATGCACGTACGTCTAAGTATAAAAATTCCACTATGCCATATTTAGCGCGTACTTTATGTGATGAAAATAGTGTCAGAAATGAACTAACCTTCTTTGCACTACTAAATAAACCATTTCCTTTACTCTTAAAGCATCATTCTTTATTGTTATTGTATTTCTTATATTTATAATCTCAATTTTTTCGTTTTGTTTATTTTTTCCATAAGTGTGGACATAATTTTAAGCTGTATTATAACTGTTAATTTTGTATTTCCCCTCACTATACTATATCAACAGAACATTAGACCCAATAATCTATAACGTGCTAAAGTTCCCAAAATGAATCGGCAATACCTTTTGAAACAAACTGACTGTTATTATTATTATTATATCTAATAATTATGTCGTATATGTGGACAAATTCCTCCGATCAATTTTGTTTTAATTTTTAGTTTTATATATATTTTGAGTAAATCAGATGCAATATTGTGACAAATGCTGAGAATTCCATTCTGTATTATAAGTACTGTTTTTGGAATAAAGTAAATTATTATTATTATTATTATTATTATAATCTCGTCGACTTAGAATATGTCAATAATATAGTCTTTCTGGGTGAAGACGCTGACAAAATGCAGAGTCTTCTGAACATCTTGAGCTGCAGTCTGCGTACGTTTGGCATGCGATTTGCTCCTGTCAATTGCAAGATGATGCTACAGGACTGGACTACATTGGCTCCTAGCCTAAAGATAGGTAATGAATTGGTAGGGCGTGTTGACTACTTCACTTATTTGGGAAGTTGTATCAGCCCCAATGGATTGATCTCTGAAGAAACCTGAACACGTATACAGAAGGTTTGTTTGGCATACGCCAACTTACTCCATCCCTGGCGTAGATGTAATATCTGACTGTCGACCAAAGGACGTGTATAGTGCTCAGCAGTTCGTTGCGTCCTCCTTTATGGTTGTGAGACATGGCCACTGAAAGGGGAAAATATAAGAAGGCTGACCGTCTTTGATCATAAGTGCCTGCGTTATATCTTCCGTGTTTGGTGGCATATTAGAGTGAGTATTATTGAGGTTAGGCATCGAATGCTAGATGGAGAAGGAAATTCAATCGACGAGGTTTTGAAGTCACACTGATTGAGATGGTTAGGGCATATGTTTCGCTTGCCTAGCCATCGCCTTCTTTGGCGGGAAATGTTAGCTGACATATAATCAAGTTGGAAAGGGGCTAGTGGTGGTCAAACCAAAACATGGCGTCCTGAGTTCATGAAATCCATAACAGTTAGTTTAAGCCAGCTACATCGGGAGGTGTAGGCCTCCTGGTTGGGGTTCTCGGGATTGTAAAAACCAGTGGCGGCTGAAGACAAGTGGTGATATGGCTCGAAATCGTTCTCAATGGCTGGGGTAGATGCATTCACTCTTTATGGTTTATAAAATCCGATGAAATTCTATTGTTCTTATATACTAGTGTGGTGAGAGCTGGCTGCTAGCCAAATTGGTAGACAGTAATTTACGTCAATGTTTATGTCCCAAATATTGGTCATGTGAAAACAAGAACAAAGACTGACTCAACAACTAATCACAGCAGACTTTGCGTAGGCGGATACAATTAGCAGAGAGATGATCTGACATTCAAGAAACAGCCACTAAGAGATGAAAGATTAACTTTCAGTGAGAAACAACCAATCAGAAGACTGCGTTTGTCCACTAACAATAATCTATAATAATGTACATGAAGATCTATAAATATGTGTTGATTTCCTTAATAAACGATCTGTTGCCTGGCCCTTGTCTTCTGTTGTTACACTAGTATTCTTTTTGCCTCACACTTCTGTTTATGGTCTCTCTTTTGAATCTGTCTTTAGTCTCTTCTCTTGCTTTGTGTGTTACATAGAGTGTGGCAACTGGAACTGCTGCACATCTGTGTAAAGTTCTACGTCGAAACCAGTCAGTCAGGAAATAAGTTATAATCTGCGCAAGGCTACAGAAGCCGACCTGTGCCCGTCTAGCCTCGATTGACCACCTAGATGACTCTCCTGTGGGTCTTGATATGCCCCCTGTCCTCAACTAACATTACTATATCTATCGAACTCGTGTGTTTGAGGTCACTCTTTGTTGACAGAACTTATCCTTAATTGTCTTTGGGCCACAATCCGTCACTGTGTACACTTTACCTGGCCGATTGCTTCTTACTCTAATATAACTTTGTACTTTAGTGGAAATCCAGCCTAATAATGTGGACTTGGCTCTAGAGCTTAATGTGACATCAACACCAGCTATGCGGGACGTCCGTACCTCAAGGTCCCCGGGTATATGTACATGAGAAAAACCATTCGAACTGTCAGATGGAAGCATTTGAGGCACTTAACTGGGATATTGTAAGCCGGTTTCTGATATTCAGCATATAACAAAAACTAGGTCTTCTTCTGGTTCTCACCAGACCTGTATATTGTCCGGTTCGTATCGATGTGCGAGTGTTATAGGTGGTAGGCTTGATCTCGTCAGAATAACCGTATTAAATATCGGGCATTTGACTTCTAGTGAGATTTACATGGTAGCAGAATAATGTCTACCAGTCCGGCGGTGAGTGCTGAGCATTTACAGATGCGTGTTAAAATTATGTCCGTTTTTCATGTTTCAGACTTGGGAATAACTACCGATAACGGGTGAGCGTTTAGATAACCATAATTTTGAAGTTAAAGCAAAACGAAAACAAGACAAGATTAAAAAAACTGTCAGAAGTTATTAAAAGGGAGAGATTAGATAGAAAAAAGGCACTAAAGAATATTTTTACGTGAAACAAAAATAAGACAGGCAAAACATGAGGTAGGAATTGTTTTATTTTAATCATGGAAAAGAATCAAAATCATGAACACCTTTTACTCTGAAACTAAATCAAAAGTGGTTTAAAACTTAATGTATTGTTTTTCAAACTAGTCTAACTACTACAGAAGTAGGAATATTAGCTAATTTGGCTAGCTGAAGCGGAGGCTATAAGTATAAGAGACGGGGTTGACAACGTCCGGTGTTATCCGAATATAACTTCACAGATATGTTCGAGGATAAGTTGATATTTTCTCATTCACATGTTTTCGTTCCCGATTAGTAATCTTTGATTTCTCACTAGACTTTTTGATAAAGTGTTACTGAGCTAGACTGTACTGCTTCTGATGTCCTGCGCATGAAGTCCTAGTTTCATTTAGGATGGACCCAATTTGGCTTCTGATGATCCATGCAGAAGTTCGTATGAGCACTTAATCTGTGTAAATTAGTAGTTACTGGTAGAAGTGCGAGCTCCCACTGCGTACGAAAAATTCTTGCTAGTTAATTATTACAGGCTATATTAATGTGAATTCTCGATGAATATAATTCAGATAGGGCTATACTTCATTGTTTCCAATACACGACATATAAGTACTCCCCTGTAGTACCACATTCCTTCTACATGCATTGATTAGAGTAATGGTGGGGAGTATTCAGGTCTAGTTCACGACTTGACACAAGGTTGTACGTTAATACTTTTTCACAAATGTGAATATTTTGATATCAGATTTTAGTGCTGGTAAGAATCTATCTATCAAATATGTAAAGTGATCATCAAGATTGACAACATAATTCTGAATACAAAAATTAGGCACAAGCTTTCTGCCGATTTACTCCTAACATCTAACTCACATAAGTTTGTAAAAAGCGTCAGACAGTTTCCTCCCAACTTATTGTAAAGTACTGAATAGGTAATCGGATTCAGCAAACATCAAAACTATGGCTCATTGGTTGTACTGTGCAGAAAAACTATACTTAATTGCTTTTTAAGCTTATTGTCTAATGATTCGATTACAGATAGAGGATTTATCCGCTAAGTGTTTTGACATACAACAGACAACAAGAAGGAAAATTGGGTTAAAATAACAAACGCTTTCTTCATATTTTAAGTCTAAAATGTAAACGCATATAGAATTTCAAATAAAAAATGTTTGTTTTAAAACTGTCGCGAAAAGCAAATCTATAAAAAGACAATTGTATTCTAGTTAAAATAATAGGATACTCTTGAAACACACACAAGGAATTAGTATACAAATTAGTTACGTGCAAATGTTACATCATAATGTGCTCTTCATTCGCTTTTTTATCGATATCTTTACAATAATTCACTTTGTACACGATTTAAATTAGTCTCACATTCACAAACTTTATCAATAAAATAATTTCTATTCCGTATAATCTGTAGTAGATCTGCTTGTACATAATAAATATTCTCCCATTTCATGACTTCATTCATATCCAAACTGTAACTGTTTGATGATGATCCATTTTCTTCGAGATATTGTAAATCGATGACATTTGAACCGTCGTCTTCAAAACGTATATTATCATCAAATAGAATATGTTGAACAGTTTTGTCCTCTGGATTAAACCATATTGGTTTTGATGATTTGTAATGATAATTATGCGCTTGCCAGTAGGCAAAATCATCAATAACACTAACAGCACCAATTTGTTTAGACCATAAATTATAAATTTCGTTTGGATTATGTGATATTTCTATTAGTTGTTTTACATCATCAGTTGTTTGTTGTTCACTCTCTTTGTACAGATGAAATATCGGTTGTGTTTCAGAGCGTTTTAAATACCATTTGGTAAAGTCAATTGGTAATAAGTATTTAGCGTTTACTGGTGGTTTCTCTTGTGGATGTTCACCATTAGCATAGGCTTCAACAGCAGACAGAATATGTTCACCATCTCTACCATAGGTGCGTATGAATATAGCAAATTGACGATTGGAGTCTATAAGCCATGTTAATAAACGGTAGAATGCCGGCATTAAATAGTGATAGCTATTGTTACTTACGTTGTTACTGTTGTCATTGTCATCATTTTTCCCACTTTTCACGCGTAAACAATATGGAGTATTGATACATTCTTCAGGTGTAAGTTTAGGTAATTCCAAGTGTTCGGTGAATAGATTTAGAAATGGTATTCCTTCTGGTGTTTGTGTAAAATTCCCAAGATATTTACGCAGTCGACCCCTATCCGAAGATATTTTACAATTTGCCGTTACATGTTAGAGAAAGATACCCTTTGTAACAGTTTAATGCAGTTTTCATGCTTTTTTCATAAATATACGTTTTCGTTAATCAGAATTCCCTCTTTCATGCGATTGGTCCGTTGTGGGCCGTCAGCTGATTCGTAGTTAGTGTTGCTTAAAGTTTAACTTTGCCGGTTTTACCATGGAAACTACGATATTTTCGACAAAAATTCAGCTTTTCTCAGACATTGGTGTTGTTGTTTTTTTTTCATCATGGAAATCAGGATTTAAGCGAGCGAAGAAACTTAGTGAAAAGAGTAAGTTTTAGCTCCAATAAATGCCTATATATAATAGTGCTTAGATAAAAAGATTATCGTGAATTGTATAAGAGATATTCCAGTGAGAAGTGGCCTCGAAGATCTTAAAGATTAGGACCTGTAGGATATGCCGACCTGTAAGATGTCTCGTGAATACCTACAGGACCCATGGCGTAGCATCTTGACAAGAAGCTGAGCAGGCTTGTCGATGTTAGGGCAAAAGCACTTTTTTATAGTCTAGACCTTTACAATCATAATTTCCTTCCTAAAGTCATTGCATTCCAATATCTCCGAAGAGAAATCCGCGAAAATGCTCAACAAAGTGCTGCAAATACAGCAATAGTAAAATCAGTAATCAGAACCGCATAACCCTAGGGATAAATGACTTTGTGTCACTTAGTCAAAATTAGGCAAGAATTTCTAATATACCTTATCTGAATCCATCGCACAGACGACATTGTGCATAGGATTACCGAAGATATGTGTGAGCCGTATTGGACGATTATGTGGTATATCTCTCTTTTGAAGTGAATCTAACCTCTTCGTCCGGTAGGTACTCCCGCGGTTTGGTTTATTCCATTCAGGGTTGGCTTTCTTTTTCTGATCCAGGCAGCCGTATATGAATTCACCTTCCGGCTCATTTGGCTTTTGTTGGGTGCTGCGCTGAACACAAAAAAATTAATGGTCAAATTACGCGATGAATCCTAATGACTACCACATCAGTAGAGGCAGGATATATATATATATATATATATATATATATAATATTATTGTTACTGTTTCCCCTAATTCCTAGAAGAACGTGGGGCTTCATTGCGTTAGCTTCTCTACCAACGTTTTCACCTGGCTCCACGTCTGCCCACATGCTTTTATCTCCTCTTCACATGATCTCCTCCATGTCACTCTCGCACTGGCGACCAACTCGCCGCTTCCCTTTCGGGTTCCACTCGAGGGCCTATCTTGTGATGCCACCTGGTTGTTTTCTCAGAGTGTGGTCAATCCACCTCCATCCCTTCCTGCTTATTTGCTGCACATTTGGTTTCTACTGGGTTGAATCACTCCAAGAGATCCCTATTGCTGATCTTTTCTGGCCATCCATCTGATTTTGAGTACTGAGAGGAGACAACTGCTGATGAGGGTCAGTATTTTGTTCGTGACTCGCCAAGTCTCTGGTTCGTATAGTAGCACTGACTTCACATCGGAGTCGAAAATCCGGATCTTATTTTTCATGCAGAGTGCTGTTGATCTCCACACAGACTTGAGAGTAATGAAGGCTTGTCTTGCTTTCCTGATCCTCACTTTGATATCCTCGTCAGTTCCGCCTGTGGTTGGAAGGATGCTTCCCAGATGGAAGGTAAAGGAGGTTGTTTCTTCCAGATTTCTCCCATTCAGGGTGATTGTTGTCTGTTGTTGTTAGTGTGGCTGTTGGCCAGGAATCTTTATCACCTCTGTCTTCTTTTTGTTCACTTGAAGTCCCATCTTTGATGCTTCTTCTGCCGACTTGTTGCTCTCCACTTGCATATCTTCCAGTTTGTGGGAAATCAGATATATATCATCCGCGAAATCCAGATCCTCCAAGGTTTTCGTGTGGGTCCATTTTATGCCTGTCTCCGCCTTGCCCTCTGTCTGTCGCATTATTCAGTCTACGACAATCAGGAAAATCATTGGAGATAGTAGGTAGCCAGGTTGTCTTACTCCTGTCTTCACCTCGACGGATTTCGTGAGTTTCCTGTTGTGGATCACTTGGCACGCAGCCTTGTCGTACAACTGTTGCGTGAGATATATAATTGTTGGTGGCACCCGTAGTAGCGAAGTAGTCCCCAAATCACCTCTCAATCGACGCTGGCGAAGGCCTTTTCACAGTCGATGAAGTTGAGATAGAGAGCTGACTGCCATTCTAAGCTCTGTTCAGTGATGATCCGTAGGGTTGAGACTTGATCGACACATGACTTGTTTCTCCTGATTTTAGTGTGTTCCAGTCGAAGTTTTTCATCCAGGACGTGTTTGATTCTCTCCAAGGTAATGCGGCTTAGTATTTTGCTTAGGGGTGAACAGGAGCGTTATGCCACGCCAGTTCTTGAATTGACTTAAGTTCGCTTTCGTTGACAGTTTGAATAAGTAGCCTTTCTTCCAATCCGCAGGTACCTTGCCCTCTTTTCACACCTTCTCCAGTAGTGTTATCATCAAGTCCGCTGATGTCTCGTGGTCCACATATGTATAAATACTAACATTCCAGCCAAAGAATTTCCTAAATGGGATAGCGTTTCACCTCAGGTAAACCATTCCTATATGCTGACGACCTCAAAGTCGCTCATGAATTAAGCGATAGATCTTGAACTAAGTGGTCTCGCAACATGGTGTTCTGAATCCTGTCTAAAGTTTAACATTGACAAATGTGGCTGGATTTGTATCGGTAACAGTAACCTTGATCTAAATCTTGAAATAAATGGGCGTAAACTAGCCGAGCTCAACTCAGTTGTAGATCTCTATATCAGATACTCTAGTAACTTAACGTTCTCTGAACAAACTGATTATGCCAGACGTAAAACAAGAAGGCTCCTAGGATGCGTAACTCGCAATTTCTTTTGTCGTGAAACTAGGGTTTAATTATACATATAACTGAAATGCCTAATTGCTAGGTAAATGGCTAACGCGGCTAGGACGCTCGTCGACCATGCACATGGTTCGGGGTTTGATCCCCGGCCCACGCACTCCTTTACCTCGCTGGGCCAGAACTAAAGCTGGTGAAGAGGAAAGGTTGGGCATGAGGTTAGCGACCCCATTCTGTAATAAAATAGATACCACTGTTACCGAAACTTCAAGTCTCTAGCTTAAAACCTTATGTTCCACTGGGAACGTGAAGGAATAGAAAAAAAATACAACACGGTATGAGTGGAGCACGTAGACAGTAATGATCAGTGAGAAGGCGAAGCCGCCAACAGTATAGTATATTTCGAATTGTACTCGGAAGTTATATATATTTAAACGTGAATCGTTTTAAATAAAATCATGTACAATGTCTCTAATTTCAACACCTAGCAAAAAGAGTACAATCAAATTGTTACGCACTCCACACGGCTCCCCCTGTAGTGGACCTAGTGACCAAGTATGTTCATACACGCAATTAAAAGGAACAAAACAAATACTAACATGTATGTTGATATAAAGTATTCAGTTCACTTAGGTTAGTATACACAAGAAAGGAGTTATTTGAAAAAACTATGGTAGTTACACAATACTCAAAATATAGACACGTACAAATTGATATGGATGAAATTGTCCTTCTCTTGAGTATGCAAATCCTCAACTACACATTAGAGATGCTGACCGCCAGAGAGCACTTGAGTTGAGAAAGACAGATTGGAGCAAAGTAACCTGTTGCGGTGGTGTCTATCGGTACGAGGCAGAGGTAGTCAGTAGATGTGATATGTGAGCAGCTGGAGAGAGAAGAGTAGATTCGTCCGTTGTGCGTGCGGGGAAGGTTGTGTCCTTGTCCAATCTCAGTGGCACAGTGGTTAGGACTCTCGCCGACCATGCACATGGTCCGGGGTTCGATCCCCTGCCGACGCACACCCGATATCTATGGTCGGCCTGCGAAATTTGGACTACCGATATCCATGCTGAAAATTCCATACTTTTACTAAAAATACGGTGTGGAATCAAGCTGTAATTCATTCTGCTATCTGAGCAGTTATGCAAGCCATAACAACCACGGTTTTCTTTGAATTCCTTATTTGTACTATTTTTTGGCCGCCACACGGCTCGCCCTCTTAGAAGTCCGGGGAGACTACCGGAGACTGTCACTGTTAGTGAAGTAAATAATGATAGTAATAACCATTTTTAGGGTAAAAATAATAACTTCATCATCAGGTTCTACAGTTATATATACATTATAGTGAATGAATTAGTGTTATGAACAACACTGATGTCTTAGTAACATGAAATCAATAATATAAATGGATTACTGTTCAATAGCATCAACGCAGAGATATACCGAATGTCAGAAAAATTAGACAATATTACAAATTCATGAATTTATAGTCTCTACTGAAGGTGGGCCAGAGCAGCAGTAGTGGTTGGATTTGCTTCTTTTGCACACAAAGCAGTGGTTGGTTCACGCGAATTGCGATAGCCTCTGTTGTTTGGAGCATGTGGTACCTCAATGTTTTTGGCAATTTATTTGGTACCCGGTAGGTGATAGAGAAGGATTCTTCAATGTTGGCTCTGTGACCAGTTTGAACCAAGTGGTCTAATATCTGACTGTTGATGGTTTATACTACACCTTTACCTAGCCACACTGGTTGATGTTCCTGAGCGAGCACGGAAAACCAGGTTGCTACAGCAGCGACCAATGTAACTCGCTCCACAAGCACAGTTGAATCGGTGGATACAATTGGAAGTGGCTACCTAGTCTAGGTACTTCATCTTTCAATCGATGAATCCCCCTCGGTAGTGTAGAGAATAAGACGTGTAGTTTGCCAGCATTGGTTCCATGTTATTAAAACATTAGTGTTGTTCATAACACTAATTCATTCACTATAATGTATATATATATATATAACTGTAGAACCTGATGAAGAAGGTGTTATCGAAAAGAGTATTCTTTGTTCAGTAACCATTCTTTTGAAAAACTTTTTTGTTTGATTTTAAATGTAAAACACATTAACTCATATTTTACATATTGGGCATATTTGATAAATCTACTCATTTTTGCTAATGAGTCAGACTGACTTTCTATCTGACCATCATCATCATTGTCATTAGTTCATATTATCAATCGATATATCCTGCCCTGTAGAAGAATACAATGAGTTTGTATATGATTCATACATTGAGCAGTATGAAAAACACGATTTTATTAGTAGGCTATTGCTGAAAGTCATAGAGTTAATCGGTGTTAGAACAGAGAAGACTTAGATTTTAGAAAATATTTATCATTCGGTACTTAGCTTCACTAATATGTTTCTAGTTTTTTTTGTTTCTTTGATTTTGATAGAATAAATACACGTCGACTGTGACTAATATATAATGAAGTAAATTCAAACCACAAAACTCTCTGTTGAAACAAAATTACTGGTAAAATCAAACAGAATGGACATTATGAGCAATTCTCAGTATTGTCATTCATTTAAACTTTATTTTCACATCATTTATACTCAGTATACACCAGTTTATAGGATAAGTACATCTTCATTTTTATTGCATGGTTCTCCACTGTTGTGCGTTCAACATTTTCTACAATTCCCTGCTTCATCATCACTATTTTCTTAATATTGTTTCATTAAATTGTAGGTAATCAAGAGCAAACAAGATCTAGTGGAAAGAATAAGCCCGCACGAGTAACTCGAAGCGGGAAACAAGCATCTGATGTAGAGAGACCAGAGGTAAGTAAATAACAATATTAAACACTTGACTTTATAACATTTACTTTCCTCCATCTCAGAAAAAACATAGATAA